AAATCGTTGCAAAGCAACTTTACAGCAAATTAAGTTTCTACAATATTTAGTGGTAGCTAAACATAAATACAAATACATAACATAAACATAAATACAACTTAACCACTGATTTCTAGTCGTGTCCTCTTTTGGAAGGGCCAAACAAAGTTTCACTTTCACAACGAAACACACAGCGCCTTCACATGGCGGTGGTGGCAACAACAATACTACAGTGAGAATAAAAGTTACGCCTTTTAGTTTGCGTGAACATTTGGGTGGCATTATGCAAATCTTCCCACATGTGGGCCCTGTTGGAACTGTATGTATATGACAGCCTGCATGCGATGGATAAATTAATGGATGAGATTTGCTAATGATCATTGTGTCATTCTCAGTTCACTGTTGTGTTTGTGTAGATGTGATATGTCTACAAACAGACAAGTAATATGATTTAAAACTAAAAAGGCCAAAACACATCACCCTTTTGTGATTGCCCAGCTCTCTGAACTCTCGGTATAATGTCAGATGCTCTTGGCATAGCCGGAAGCGTAATGTTTGCCATCTTATTGCTGAGCTGAAATTAGCTGTGAATAAAATTAACAGTATCTTGAGCAACGGATCACATTCAAAGTTCTGCAGTCAACATTACAGGCTTTGTTCTGTGTCTGGCCGCTAACACGGTTTCAGAAGAGGATCAGATAAAGAAGCTTTGTACACAGAACACAAGTTCTGCCATCAAAGAAAACCATACTAAGTGCAGCAGGGTCCATAAATGGATTTTCAGTGTACTTTCTTAATGTATTCTCATTATGGTATTACACAGAAAATATATTATGTCATTTTAGGCATTTTGTGCAATGTGTGTTTGTATAGACAGCATTTGTAACATGGAAAAAATAGCATCTTGGCATAGCCGGAAGCGTAATGTTTGCCATCTTATTGCTGAGCTGAAATTAGCTGTGAATAAAATTAACAGTATCTTGAGCAACGGATCACATTCAAAGTTCTGCAGTCAACATTACAGGCTTTGTTCTGTGTCTGGCCGCTAACACGGTTTCAGAAGAGGATCAGATAAAGAGGCTTTGTACGCAGAACACAAGTAAGTCCATCAAAGAAAACCATACTAAGTGCAGCAGGGTCCATAAATGGATTTTCAGTGTACTTTCTTAATGTATTCTCATTATGGTATTACACAGAAAATATATTATGTCATTTTAGGCATTTTGTGCAATGTGTGTGTGTGTATAGACAGCATTTGTAAAATGGAAAAAATAGCAAATCTTATCACTCAGGAAAATAATGCAACAGTTCCCCTCAATAATCCACACAATTTGAGGCATTAGCATATTAGTAGAAAATCACCTTCCAAACTTATTCCTCACGAAATTGTATGACTTAATTCATAAACTTAAGTATAACCCAACTATCCATAAACTTAGCAAAAAGCTAAACTTGGCAAAAACTCACCACCACTTAGTTTGGAAGAATATGGAAAGTGTTGCAGTTATTTCTAACTTGGCTGAATATGTATGTTTCTGGATTGTCTTTGACACAAAATTGTCTTGAACGCAGATTATTATTGCCATTGTCAATAGCTAATCAGCAAATATTAAACAGTGATAATCTGGATTGGATCAGTTTGTACATGACTGCCGAGACATGCGTGTGTGTAAGTGATGTTTATCTGTTAATGATCAATGTATCAATGTCTGACTTCTTGCCGGGGTCTAAACATAAAGGTGGGAGGTCATAGGTCATGGGTGGCTACTGATTTCAGTTCAGCCTGGGTTCTATAAACATGGAAATCTCCAGAAGAAAGTAAATAAAACATGGTGTTGTCTGCTACAAGGAAGTGAGGTGTCTGTTTCAGATAAAGAACGGAAGAAACAGATTATAGATGATGCAGATGTATCAAAAATTATCTAAGAGGGTTTTCACACCGGAGTCCTTTTTTAAAAGAACCAAATCTAGATCCCTTGAAGTGGGCCAATCAGTGAATCGAGTAAAAAAGGACTCAGATCTCTTTATGTTCACACTGTCCCTTCCCCTGAAAGAGGACTCAGATTATTTTTTGGTCCATTTAAGCAGTAATATTTTCTCAGACCTCTTTGTGTCCTTACTGTTGCTTTTTGGACCTAGTCCACTTCAGTGCTGTTTATTGTGGGTACAGCAATACTATGCAAGATGGTACAGTAGACAAGTGAATGCCATGAATTAATAATTTGGAAAGATCTTCCAGCAGAAGCAGCCATGATGAATAGTGTGATGAATTTGTACAGAGGCGTCCGATGACCAAATGAAATGGAAAAATCAAGTGAACTCAGAGTGATTTATGTTCACATAGCAAATTTTAACAAACTCAGACCACCTTCCAAAATGATCTTGATTCGGTTCACTTTAAAAAGGTCTGAGATCATTTGGAGTGTTCACATTTGGGCCAAAAATCCAGCAAACTGCACTCAGACCCCTGAAAAGGACCAAGTGTGAAAAAAAAGATCAGATTCAGTTTTGAGACATTTTTTGTCCTTTTCTACTCTAATGGGAGATTATGTGTGGTAACAGGCAGCATGGAAGTGCCGTGTAATTTCATTAAAAAGCATGAAGTTGTGCTGGTGTGTGGTGTGTGTCAAAAAACCCCATCAATTGCAACATACCCGGATCCATGCATGAATCTTAAAAGAACATGTCACATTTCATGTAATAGGTCACATTTCACCCTCAAATCAAAAGGAAAAAAATTCCTTTTTTTTTTTTTTAAAAGTGCCTTGTTACTGTTTTTATATCATCAGGATGTTGTACTTTTTTAACAATTATTTAATATATATATTTTTTTTTATTATTTAATTTTATCAATAGAAAAAAAAATAGATTATATATAAATTCACATTACTTTAATACAAATATTTCGAATCAGTATGATGTGGCAATACCACAGATACTATGATGATGTGTAAACAATACAACATACTAAAAAAATAGATTTTTTTTTTACACATTTTTTTGTTGTTGTACAAATCAGTTATGGTAATGGAAACAGGCTTGATTATTATGAAAAATATTAGAATTTAAATCTAAGGTCAAAATGTAAAAAAGAAAAAAGACAAAGCAAGACATTAAAAATGATAATAATTTAAATTTATTTTGTATACTTTTTTGGTCGAATTTAGAGATATTAGAATTTAGAGATATCAAGACTTAAAGGGGTCATATGATGCTGCTAAAAAGAACATTATTTTGAACATTATTATTTATTTTGTATTAGGTGTAATGAAATGTGTTTATGTGGTTTAAAGTTTAAAAAACACATTTTCCACATACTGTACATTATTGTTTCTCCTCTAT